AAAATTTATGGTGATTTATGCTAGTGACCGCAAAAGGTAGGTGTAAAGCAACAGCCACTCATACAGCTAATGACCTGATTAATTCAAGTCCGGTGCAAAAACGTATAATCGCACGGGCCCGCTCGGTGCGTTCCAGCCTGGGTTTTTAATATGTCAGATCTTCTTGAAAAAAATTAGCTTTATTCCACTTATTTCTTCCACAACATTATAACTGATAACGCCTACAAACTTTACAGGAAGAATTAAAGAAAACGACAAATGCAAAACGAAAAATATAAAAGTTACACCAAGTACAGACGACACAATTTAGATATTGCGGAAATTTGCTTTTCCGAAGTCGAAATGAAAAGCGGGAACTGTCAGAGATATCGACGAGAAAACGGAACAAGCCAAGGAAGCGATTATAAAACAAACTGTATTCGAAGGACCAAAGCAACGAGAAAAAAAAAACACCGACTGTTCATACTTAAAACTTTTTTTTCTTGAATTACACTATATAACTTTAAAAAATATCATCTCACAAAACCTTCGATGCACTTAAAACAACAGGACTACACAGGCGGTTGTTCTGGCGTTACCATTTTAATGATTTTACTGAAATGCTTCCATAATACTGTAGCACCTTAATTCGAAATTTATGCATGAGCAGAAACAGTCTTTAAGTGAATTTTAACCATGTGTTTAAGCCCGACAGTATCATTAGCTAATATGGCAAACTTTTCAGCAGTGTTTGAGCAAATAAAAGAGTAGAATTTTTCCTAAAAAAATATAATTTTTCCAACAAAATGATATGGATTATGCACGAAGAGCAAAAACCAATTTTTAGGAATTTTTGAAGTAAATACGTGACGTCGCCTGAGCCAGATTAATATTATTCACTGCCGATATTGCACACCAACAACAGTCAGGAGATCGCGGCGATTAAAAATATGGTAAAAAATGGAATGAGTTTTGAAAAAAATCAGGGTGGGAAAGATACCTGGAAATACTGGAACTGAGGAGAGAAGAAGCAGCTTATGCAAAACCCGGCGGTGATGTCAATGTGATAACATAACAGCGCGTGATGATAAAAAGAAATAGAGAAAAAATGAGTTCATTAAGCAGCTCAAATATGCGGTAGGGACTTCACTGGCCTCATCTATAAAAGACTGGGCCATCGGCTCTAAATTATGTAGAAATTTTCACTGTATTTATTCTTTACCTTCGCCAAAAATTGGTCTCTGTGAGCCAAAAACCTCTAAACTTCCTTCTCAAAAGCCCCGATTGAATCGTTTTTCTTCAAAGTTCGCCTTACCTTTTTTTCTCGATCCTGCTCCATCATCCAGTACTGCTGCAGTCGTTGCTTGAACTGTGAATTGCTATCACACAAACGAAAGCCATAACGGAGAAATATAAGGGCTGGCCGAATAGTCCGCTTGGAGGTCCCGATCTAATTTTTGTTACTAAACTCAGTAATGTTTCGTCAAGCCTTTCGAACTTGAGCCGAATTTCTCCAACTTCTTCTCATAATGCCATTCGTTCGATATGTATGCACTATTCCTTCTAAGGTCACTGAGCATCCCGCAGATGACACTTGTCGGTGGCCTTAGTCATTTCTTGCGAAAACATCTTGTGGGTTGCTACATAAGCAAGCGTTTCCACATAACCGAGCGCCCAGTCTCATAAAAGTAGTGAGTTTAAGAATCAACATGCGCAACCTTTTGAAAGGATAAAAACGCACAAAGCGCAAAACAGATAATGCAGCTAGAAGAACATTTATTGATCCGGTTCTAACAAACTGTGAAAAAAGATATGCGGAAAGCTCACTGGATATCTTGTCTCCTTAAATCAACTAAGACATTCAGCCGATTAACTAGTAGCAGATCTCTTTCTGCCCTGATTACTATTATGAAGAAATGAAAGGGGCACATTAATTACTTTCTTCAACTCGGTTCCCACTACTGACTGTGGTTGCGATCTGACATAAAACTAAAAAAAACTTAACACAGCTTTCAAACATCTGTCAGAAATTGGTATTGTGCAGAATACTATGATTACCAAGATGCGCGGGCTAACAGTGAGTGCATTTTAAGCATTGACCGAGGTATAATTGATTTCACTCCTCATTTTTGCGCCTGATGCAACCCAAGTTCATAGCCACCTGAATCCTTTCGCGAGCGGGTATTGCTAACAGACAGTTTGTTCGTCTCCGTCACAGTAACAACTAATCTATCACTACCGCTGTTTTTCTAACATGTGCTGATATGACTGCATACAAAGATAGAATTTCTTGCAAAAAGCTGCAAAAATCTTAGTTTACAAGGTCCACTTTAAAAGGATGAAAGCCAACAGAAAAACTGCGAGGTGATGTTATTTAAGATAAGTTTACGCTACATCATTGCGCTCTTTTCGTTGTTCCCAAATGCTTACGTCGATAAGCAGTCTTGTGAAAATTTCATTAATACCTCGTAAATTCAGGTTAAAGAGTATAACAGAATGACTACTGTCGGTATTATCACCATCGCATTCTTCACTTTGGCACTGACCATCTCGGCAAAGCCAACCAAAGGTTTGTTCGATTTGCGAATAAATTTTTAGCGCACTGCCGAATTTTGCCGCGAGGCACCAAAGCTTTTGGAGCAGGGTTCAGTGCGACCAGTACAACAATACAATATCTGCAAAATACCAAAATATTTGATTGCAGAAACTACTGCTGACAGTGTGCAAGCACACCGAAAAACGCCATCAGGAGCACTGAAGAACCTCAGCGGCAAAGGGTAAGTCATCATCCCATTAACGGAATTACCACAGCGATCAGTCGAACTTCCGATCACGAAACTGGGCTCGTCAGTGAGAGTCAGCTTTTACTGAAATCCAAATCTGTTATGCTTTTTTTTTAGCGTTTGGAGGGCAGTTTTGATAAATCGATGCCCCCTTGTTATATATCGCTCATCAGACCAGTTATTTACTTATTTTATTTAAATTCAGCTCTTTTTATTTCAGATTTCCGTGTTTTTTTTATTTCAGATTTCCGTGTCATTCAGTGTTTTTGGCTTTTCCTCAAAAATAGGAGAAACGCCGTTTTTCTTGTGGAGGGCTTTAATCGTACAGATGCGTCCTGTAATATTTTATATGCCGAAAGCTTCTTAGAAATTTCTGAAATTTTTGGAAAGTGTCTTAGCATCTCGGGTGATTTCCAGAAGAAAGTCGGGTGAGGACAGTTAGGAAGAACACATGTGGTGGAGCAAGCAACAAAAGACGGAAACATCTGTTACCCTTGAAAACAGTAAAGTACCGTACCTTGATTATCAGCGCACTCATACCGGAAAAAAGCCGCTTGGGCAGTCGACCTGGGGTCTCTATGACAATGACGTTGCTGGGTGTTTCCAGTGTGAAAGACCTTTCAGTGCAGCTCTTTTAGTGCTTGCAGCTTTGTTCGTTGCTGTGCGGGTCACCTTTTTGAGGTCATTCCTGGGGCTGTTCACTTCATCGCAAGTACCACTTATAAATACGAGGCGAGCGTCGGTCACGTGTTCACCCATGGAATTTATTTTTTCATATGATCACAACGGCAAAGTGGTTATTTAATTGTGATAACTCATACAATTCTGGCAAAAAAAAAACCACTACTTTCAGTTATCTAATTGCAGGGTGTACGTCGACAATGCCGAATACAGTTCCGAATCTTCCGAAATTGAGGAAATGACAGTAATCGTTTACTTAGTTTTATAGCATTTTCATGAAGTAACAAAGTGATGGCTGATAAAGTTCTCCTTGACCCATTATACTCTAGGAGGCAAAAAAATGCTATAAGTATCCCTAATAGGCTTTATTTTCAGGGTACTACTTTTTTGAAGATTTCACAATAAGCACTTAACTCATCCACTTTAAAGTTTTTGCTGGAATTGTCTTCTGCTTCAAAAAATTTTGACAACACCACACTTTCTACTGGCAAACTGTTGGCATAGCTGTAGCCAGTGCAACATGTGCACAAATTTTAATCCTGGCCTACCGAAATAGAATAGAACTTGGTGCATGAATATACCTCATTAAATAAATCATTTAAAATTGTCTTCTTCTCCTAGGAGTTTGAAAATGTTTGCGACCATGGAAAGTAAGTTCATCCGGCAATCAGCCATGTAATCTAATGTTGCTGGTATTAGCGGAATACACCTACATACTGTTAGTGCAAAGTTAGAACTGTTGATCAAGAACAAATCTTGCTTTTATTGTGCGTTTTTGCATCTTACGCAAATGCTAAAGCGCATATTGCTGAGAGGTTTTCCGTGTATGTGTGTTTGTGCTCGGAAGCAAATGAGCTGTGTCACCCACTTTCAACTCAGCAACCAAAAAGCTGGGAGATGAAGTGCTAAGAGCATATTCCCATCCTTTGTACCGCATTTTTATTTTAAAATCAGCGCTCATATGCTTTTAGTTCATATGCTTCTGGATGCACTTGAAAGAAAACACATAATTTTTTCGACAGGAGACGGCTTTTGAAGCTAAGAATTTGCAGGGGTATTTTCTGTTCATTTATAAGCTATAAATTCAGCTGTTACCGTGCCAACTCAAGAACTCGGAAGAGTTTAGCTTTAATGTCACCACTGCATTTATCATCTATCAGGGAAATTGCACCCTCAAATGGAGTTTCGAATTACACTTGCACCATACCGTAGAGCACGTCACAGACTTTGCAGCGAAGTGGTGGTTCCGGGTACTGGGAAAACTGTGAACCTGAAATTTGCAAAAATATCCCACATTCAAATATGGTTCGAATTCAAGCTATAGGCTACATCCCCTGCACAAGAAAATGTTCAGTTTTATCGCGATCTCAAAAATGAGTGCGTTTTGCAGATTTCGTCAACCTTCTCTTTCGGCATCCTGTTCATTTTGCTATTTGCATCTCTTAGTGAACAATCGGTTACAGAACTAGTTTTGAGCAATCATGCAGATTAAGATTTTAGATGGTCTCACAGGGCAATACTACCACCCCAGCCGGCGCATTTTTCTCCTAGATGCAACAAAAGGCCAATACATAGCTAACACGATCCACCGCTAAACTGCAGTGCAGCAGCCATTTATACACTTAACGGTCTGACTACACAAGATTAGCGCAAAAATGCATGATCACACCAGCAAGTCTGATGTGTCGCCATCTTGGTTTAACTGAATGATACTTATTGTTAAAGTAAGTACCAAAGTAAGTGGTAATAAGTTTTGCGCAATGTAAAGTGCAAAAATTTGAACAACTGAAACATCAATACGCAAAACGTGTGTTATTGCAGCCAGAAGAATGGATTGAATACAATCAACAATTTGACAGACTCTTTGAAGAAGCAGAACGTAGAAACGCTATGGTGAGAAATTTTCCATTTTTTTACAGAGATTATTGAATAATAAATTACGAAGAAGAATCTGCTGAGCAATAACAAATTACAGAGGCGAACCATTATCGCTGTGTTCAAATACATTTGGGCAACTGTATATCGCTGCAACGCGCAGTCTGAATCCTCTTTTTTTTTTAACTTCCACTGCTCGCTCATTGAGATGATTTGGTTTTTGTACAACAGATTATCAAGCATTTCGAATTTGAATCCATTTTCAATTAACAATGCTTCATCTCCCACTCCGCATCCGCAGGCTCCCCTTTCCTCCCTCAGCGATACGTCATAGGATTTTCTAAGAAACCGCATTTAATTCAGCTTGTAAAGAGGAAAAATGATATCCCATTCAGCTTCAGTAATAATTGTTAATAATGACATAATTGTTAGTAATAATTATAATAACAATAACAATAATAATACAGTGATGATAAGTACAATAATGACAGTAATGTAGTAAATGAGTCGCAAATATGACAGGCATCATCAACTATGTAAACGGGAAAATTCGACTTTCTCACTTGTGGCAAATATGAAGTACCATGCCAGATCAGCTGTTACCATTTTTTAAGTTGCTACTACACCCGCAGTTGCGAAATACTTGAATACAGTTTTAGGAATTCAGGTCTTCGCAAACAACAATCACCTACTGATGTGGCATTCAGTGAGATCTACTTTAGGAGATTCTTATAAAAGAGTCTGGCTGTTATTTAACTCTTTAGCATAATATTTTGATCCAGTGCTAATTTACTAGTGAAACAAGGTAGCTAGCGGACTGTGATCACTCAAGCCTAAGAACAGAGCCCCTGAAAAACTTTTTTAGTAGAACCTTTCCAATGAGTGAAAGTCAAAATTCAAAAAACCATCTACATTCGCTTACAGAAAGAGACGGAGATGCTCAAGATGTACCCAAAATAGCAGTAAGTGCCAGTAACATCTGGCAAGACTGTCGATGGCACTGCTCTCTAGGGTTGCTTGCAAGCAAGCTAATGAGGGGCTTGACTGTCTGATACATGTCACTGCCAACTTACCATCGAAACAAAAAACACTGGTTATCCTAGCAATAAATGCATGCATTGCCCGAACTTGCATGTGCTAATTAGAACAAGCACTGCATTGTTCGCTAAAGACTTTGCCACATCTACATCCAATTCTCCAAAATTCCGACCACGTCCCGGATAATTCTGCGACGTAGTGCACTGATTTTTCCATTGAACACTAAAACTTTTCCTCAATTTTGGCAATAGTTCAGTTTCTCTGAATTCGACGATGAAGATGCGCATTATGAGATTCCCGATTGCTCTGGCAGAAGGTGTACTGGGGGCCTGATGAATCATTATATATATGAGAGGTGGAGAAGGGAGGCTTTTAGAACAATGGAACTGCTGATAATAAAAAATGATATCCTGGCTAAGATAAGCGGGTTTGTGATATTCACATATATTTCATATGAGCTAGGCGATTGCTTATTACTGCCGCTAAATTTATGAGCAAGAGCAGTTTAAAAACTGTTAAACAAGCGTATTCCTGAATGAGGGTTTTTTAGGTTTTTTATTATTTTTTGTTTATTTTGGATCATTTCAGACCACAAGTACTACTGGTCCCACTATTGGCAGCGCTTCTATTAAAACAGAAAAACCAACAAAACTGGGTGCTGTCTTCGGCAAATTGAGTAATTTATTCAAAACCCAGTAAAGTTGCAAATACAGTTTTCTATGCAAGTTTTTAACAAGGAATAAAGTTGATTAATAATAATAAATCAACCGCAATTGAACTGCGAACGCGATCTGAATCATAGCCACCTGATTAAAAACTACAGTTGCGCAGCCGAAAGTATCATTAGGCACTTGGATTACAAGTGGATGCACTGCATTAAAAGCCGCATTCAGAATTAAAATACCGTCTTTATTACTGACAATAATTTGATCAGCGACAGCTTGGAGTTGATTTATCAGCTACGCAGCTGGCAACTTTTCCGATGACTGGCCAGTGTTGTACTGAACGTAGACATTCCTTTCTCAGACGTTTTGTACAATAACAGCAGTATAAAACCAATACAGTGCTTTTCATATCTGTGTGCGTGTGTGTATACGCATACTTTTTCAGCTCAGTAATTAATAATTGGTCAACTCACAGGCTGTCCGTGCGATGGTGCGTATTTTGCATAGTCCCCCGCAGTTTTTGTCGCTACCGGCACCGGTTTTTCCGGCAAATGCTTCTAGCT